CTCCGCCGCCGCCGCCTCCGCCGCCCCCCCCCTCTTCCCGCCACCGCCGCCCCGGTGCGTGCCGTGTGGGGAGGGCAGGGGGGTGCGAAGGACCGGGGTTTCCTACCCCCCCACCACCCCCTCCTTCCACACTCGATGCCTCCGCCATCCCCACGGCCCACTGGAGACCTGGGGCCAGCGGTGGGGAGGGCGGCCGAGGCCTGTCCCCGTTTCCAAAGTGGAAAGGTCACCCTTTCCCATCCCCCAAAAAATTAAAAGGCTTTTTTTTTTATTTTATTCTGGCAGGTCGGCACGGGTCACAACCTGCCAAGAAGTCCCCCGGGGCTCGGTGGCCTTTGGTATACGCACCAAAGGCACCACAGGACAGACAGCCCAAAAATAGGACACGAAGATGGAAATCGGATGAAAGACCATCACTTGCTCGCTCACCCCCTAACAGCGGCTCCGGCACAGCCTTCAGCTCGGCCCAGAGTTCTGTGGCACCGGAGGAGCCCATCCCAGTGTCACATCACACACACGCCAGCCTTGGTGCTCACCACCTGAAGTGTGTCCAGATACGCACCTACCACCCTGGCACAGCGGGCCAGAACCAGGCACCATGGCAAGGAACAAGGTGCCCCAGGACCAGCCCTGTGCCGGGAGGCAAGGAGAGATGCAGGCACCCTTTGCCTCAGGTCAGCCCTGCAGATGGCCAGCAAGAACACGCTTGGTGGGACACAGGCCACTCGTACGGCGTAAGCCACTTCTGGTGCAACGTGAGGAGTTGTCACCTCAGATCTCTAAGAAGGGGCAAGAGCCAGGTGCATCTTCACAGAAGGGGCTCGCTGGGTTTCAGTTCTGGGCACAAACAAACAGTATCAAAAATACAGAAGCACTGAAGAAAGTCATGGAACCTTGCAAGATAGGACTGAAAGAAACATTGAGACATCACCCCCTCAAGGAGGGCAAGAGCAACTTTATCAAGAGGGAGAAGGAAAGATTAAAACTTCAATACCTATAAACTGGATAAACAAAGGATAATCAAGTTTGAGAGGAAGAAGGTAAGATAATGCTATATAGGTATTCCATCCCTAGAGGAAAAAATCTTATTAATGCTGAACGTGGGGATTTAAGAAAGGGCAATGGAAAGAAAATATGAAAAAGAAATTCTAGGCTGTTAAATAAGGAGACTTCAGACACAGTGAAATGTCTAAAGGGTATGAGATAATATCCCAAGTGAATAGGCTACAGGACACATTACTCAAGTTTTTTAAAAAGCTCAGCTTTTTCATTCAGGACCCATGGTCAGCTCCTTAGGGATACCCACCCTCTGCCTTTGTCTCCAGTGTGTTAGTTCCTCATCTGTGATACGCAGATGGCCATGTTTCCTTTCTTTTCCTTTTGGCGTGACCGCCTTACACCGCGAGATCTGCACTGAACTCTTTTTGGCTTTGGAAATAATTACATCTTGGCTGGAGCTGTAATGCTACCAGGGTACAAGTACCAAGTTCATAAAATGCAGCTGGGACTCCAAGCAACAACTTTGCTCAGTCGTTTATCCTCCCCATTGCCAAGGAGGGCTAGATTCTGGAGGCAGGCAGGCAGGTGCTTACATCAGATTCTCTGAGACATCAAAACCATGATTTTTTTTTTAATCCTCTTGCTGGACATCAGTATTTCCTTTGTGGGAAGGTGTAATTCCACGTAGACTAGTTGTTCAGCTGATGCTCACGCTCAAGCGTTCGTGCGTTGCCATCCGCCTGCCTTGGCTTGCCAGCTCTCCAGAAAGTGGTGCCCAACCTTGCAGTGTCAGACGCAGCAGTAGCAATGGCATGGTGCTGTGCTGAGCCATGTCTGATACCTCCCTTACTTGTCAGCAGGAGAAGCAAAATAGTGCACCATCATTTCTGAGCCCAAAATGTGACTGATTGTGTAACGTGTGCAATCTGTTCCCGAACAGGTTTTGAATTCTGCTTGTTTAATTTGCATGTACTTATGCACAAGGGCATCCCTGAGTAATTAAAAATATATAGCCTCTCCGTGTTTGATGTTCTGTCACTGGCGGAGTCTGAGCCAACACAGAAATCACAAGTTAAAAAGCAAATGTATTGCCAAAGCTGTCCTTAGTTGAGAAAGCTGATTTAAACAAGGAAGTAAACATAAAACCATCTTAGTTTTCAGATGTCTTATTAGTAAGCAGTGGGGAAGAAGGAAATCGATCTTTGCCAAGTGAAGAGAGATAACAGTGACAGCAAAATCATTTTAATTTCCACCTTGTAAGCTGATATTAAATTAAACAGGAATACTAATACATGTAGCTTTTAGTCTTCTATTTCTCAATTCCCTTTGAAAATGTGCTGCAGCAAATACACATTTGCAAGGAACAGCACGCACAAGAGATGGGTGAAAAGACCCACAGTCACAAGCTAATGCAGGCGGCTTTAAATGCCCATATTAAATCCCTTGCTAATGTACCAAATGCTTATGCAACATAGATGGCACAAGGAGACCGGGATGTTTCTTGTTAAATTCACAGGCAATCTTAGCCCGTGTGAAATTATCACGGCTCCCTCTGGGCTGTCCAGTCCTCCTGCCAGGGTGTTTATTCAGACCAGCTATAACCTATTGGAAAGACAGGGTCGGTTTTGTATTCCCAGGCTTGGCCAGCTCATGTCACTACAGATTCCACTAATGGGGACAAATTCTGCTGGCTCACAGCACATCCCTGGGCTGGGAGGGGATCTGAAGCCTTTGCAGACCCAGGAATGGGCTGGGGTGTTTGAGAAGGGAACAGAGGGTGGTCTCTGGTGGTGAGTAAAGCTTGTGCCAACAGAGTTGGCTGCTTGGAGGAGTCATAACTATTAATCCTCTCCCCCCACAAACCTGAGCCCGGCAGCAATGCAAACCCAGCGTTATTTCCCTCTTACAGTGGAGGCAGGGGCAGATCAGGCAGAAGTCTGATGAGTTTGGGTTGAAATAAGTAGCATTGTAAAATTCCTTTGCCAATGAAAACATCCATCCACCCTAATCCCTTTCTTTTTTAGTGCAGTTGCTTTTCATGTAACTTCAGGGGTGTCAGTGAAAGGCTTGTGATTTACACTGGTGTTGGCTGGAGGAGATTCCAGTCCAGCAATTCAAACACAGGCTGGTCATTTTTATACACGATCTTCATTGGGTGTCCAGTTTTCAATGGTTTCACAGGAATTCTAGATGCAAAAATGTAAGGAGGTATATTTTAGTTTATTAGAATGATTTTGAGACTCACAGAGCAATTCCCTTGGAGAAGGAATGTCAGAACCATGTCTAAGATGCCCAGTGAATGCACATGGCCAACTGTTCTTGGAATGTGCTTGCACAGAAGAGGGCCACACATGTTAGAAATACTGAAGGCAACTGTCAACAAGCGAGCTCGAGTATGGCAATTTGTCTGGCATTACTGCACAGTGCTCAATGCAGACTAATTTAACCCAACTCTCAGTCTATTGTCTTAAAAATAGATATATTCAGTATTTTTTGCAGTAGAAGCTTTATTACCGACTTGAACAAAATCAGAATTTTACCTGATTACAAGAAAGTACAATGAAATTAGTGAAAATTGGAGTCTAATCTAATGAAAGAGTACTTGACTATGAACAGTCATAGGAGAAGGCATTGCTTTGAGGAGCTGATGATGTGTTTTGGAGCCTTCTACCTCCAGAGCATCTTTCAAATCTTTTTCAAGCCAGAAATGACCACGACTGTGTGGGGGTGGGCTTTGTAGCTTTAGTGATTTTCTGAGTGGGTGTATGTCTGTATCATAAAAACACTGATGCAAGTGGCACTAATTAGATTGGACAAATCCATAGATCATGTCAGGCCTCAAATGCTGCTTTTTAGGCCAAAATGTGCTGCTGCCGAGACAGTACCTCTTCTGTGAATTAGAAGAGAGTTATCAGTCATCTCACGTTTCACAGCGATGGGCACAGCATAAAAGCCTGGGCAGACGTTAACATGAGGCATGAAGAGCAATCAAACAAACAAAACAAATCTCCCTCTCAAAAGAAGGAGCCAGAAAACAAGGTCTCAGTGATGTTAATTAATGGACCTC